AAGCTGAGAAACCTTAGCGGCTTCCTTATTTATGGTGAATACATGACTGGCTGGGAAGGCTGCACCAGGGGGTCATTTTTTATACTTTTCAAAGTGAAGCATTATTTAGGCACGTGTCAAAACTTTCACAGGTCTTAAGGATTAAACATGAGCCACAGGTGTTTTCTCAGGGATGAAAAGGTTTGCTGGCATGGGGAATGTTGCAGCAATGTCTCCCATAAATCCAAAGACTGTCTCAGAGGTTTGCAAACAGGAATGCTAGGAGCAGAGTCCTTCTTGCCGTACTCCAGATCTATGCTGTAGATTCACAAAGACACAGAAACATCAGGATCTCATCACCTCAAGGCCCACTCCCAGGTCAGGATTCCCTGCATGGCCCATGACTGATGGCTGACTGCAGCCAAAATCAAATTACTCTGTTCAGTACAGCTTAGCCAACACAGTGACAACTACAAGCTCTTCTGCTGGAACATTCACTTTAGAGAAAAAGCAAACGTGGAGAAGATTTCACTAAACAGAAAGAATGCCAAGTCAGGAATTTAACATGACTCTAGTCCCTCAAACTAACTGTGTGTAGTTGTTCTGCTGTTGTGAAACGCATCTGCATTTATCCACCAAAGTGGAATGAATGAGGGGGATTTGCTTAACTCTTAGTCTTTTCAAAGAGATAAAATGATCCTTTCTGAAAAGTTAATTCCTGCTTATAAACGCTATCGCTGGTTGTCTCCTTTGCTTTTAAATGTGCCCCAGATATATCAAAATCGTTTTCACAAGTGTAGGCTGACATGATGATAATTTAAAAAAGATAGTTTCTAATTGGAGCAGGACACATGTTATAGTCATGCCATTTTACAGGAGGAAGTAATGTTTTCTCATTCATATATTATGGTAAGTCCCCTTGAGAAATGATAGTTTTTCTCCTAGATTCAAATTTTTTTGCCTGTATGGTGTAGATCTTACAGCAAAAAAGTGGAGATATTCTGGGAGTTTCCACAGAAAGTTTCTGTGGAAGAGATTATGGTTTAAGATATTACACGTGCTCCATTGAGAGCTTTTAACATCTACCACAAAAGCTCTGTTGTGTTTTATCTCTACTTTTCAGTTCAGATAAACTGACAAAGTTCACTTAGAAAATACATTTTATACATTCCACAAATTAATGACAAGAGGTTATTAGTCCAGAATTCAATAAAAAATTCACATTTTTACTTCAGAGAGGTAAAAAAAACAAATGATGGGCAGACTTTTTCCACCTTTAGTTAAATACTTTGTGCTAGAAAATGTCTGACTAAAGGCACTGAACAAAATAAACTGACAATCCAGTGTAGTGCGAGCCTCCTTATCACACTTTGCTGCTGATTCACGGTATCAGGAATACTACTTTTAATTGCTTTACTCGAAAATGGCAATAACAGCTATTAACCTGGAAATTGACTTTGGACAACTGTTCCTATGAGATAATATATATCGATTTGATTTTGTTAAAATCTCCATCTTTATGTGAATAGCTTTTAGCTAATTTGGTTGGCTGCAAGCGGGTCCCCCTAACTCATTTAAATGAGGACAGAAATAAAAGGAATAGAAAGTTTCACAATGAGATCCATGTCTTTGTCTTATGAAAATCCTTTTCCGCGTGGTGTAAAGGTTACTCTGTAAATTACAATATAGCTTTTTTTCTTGCAAAGTTGTTTGCCTTTGCAGCATCAGCTCCCTGGTTGTGCCAGGAGCCAAGGTCTGTGAATGACACACTGTGCTCACTGATTCAGCCTGAGACTTGCAGGCCTGCCTTGGTTTAGTGGATATTTGAGCACATTCAGTAGCAGCTGCCACAGGGTACATGGCCTTGCAGCGAGGTACATTGCAACAGGGTACATTGACCAGCAGCCGCAATGTTGACAGCTTCAGCCCTGACCTGGTGCTCACTGCACCTTGACACCTGCACAGGGATGGGAGTTGCTTCTTACTGTGAAATACAGCACAAAACCTTCATTACTTCTTCTACCTGCAGCACCCCTCAACTCTGAATTCCTTTTGTTCTCTGATTTCTGTTTACTCAAGCTTTTCTCATTCCCAGGGTCAGGCCCTCTTTGTCAATTCACAAGTGTCATTGTATGTTTCCTGAAGGTTCTTTCCTACATGTGGCCCAAACAGACCATAAGTGACATATAGCCATGCAGGGAATACAGCAGCAGCACATGAGGAGGGCAGCATGACCACAGCCCAGTCTCCTGCTCTCCACATAAGAATGATAACCCACATGCAATTATGCCGTCTAACTCGTCTACCCGTGAAGGTAAATAATGTTCTGTGGTCTCTGTTCAACAGAATTATTAAGTACCTGCACAAGATGCATGCCCTGCTGCCCCTGGAATCAAAAATATTAGTCATGTACTTTACAGTTAAACATACACATGATTATTTAATACGTTAATGGTTCTGTATATTCATTTGTCTATTTGTATATTCATTGCAAATGGCTCTGGTCCTGGACATCCACGCTAGAAACAGGATGAGCCTTATATATCAGATGCCTCCAGCACATCAGACTCAGAACAGCGGCACATAAATGCTCTTTCCCTGTTCTCTCTCTCTTTTGCACAAGGCAACAGAGTTGATGGCATCGACTTACACCTGAGAACCATCAAGGAAGACTTTCATTATGTTTCTTCATTTTTAGCTTCCATATTCTTTAATCTACTAAACAATTTTCATAACATCAGCTTTTGTTCTGATTTTATTCTGAGATTTACTCATCAAATAATAAATGGCTTGGCTATCATCAAGCCAAATGAATCCCATTTTAGGTAAATGGTCTTTGACTATTGTTATACGTCCTGCTTAATTGCAGAACAGAAGAGCAATCAAAAAATGTGCTACTTTTGGAATAATCTATTCAGTAGCTACTTTAATAACTATAGTTCTCTAGGATACATCAAGTAAAAAACAACTTTAAATCACAGCAATTTTTTCATTTAATTAAAGTACTTGTTTAAACAGTGTGCTATCCAGTGAAAGAGGTGGCTTCACCAGTGCGGTCACTCAGACTGGCTGTAGACCTGACTTAATGAACCAGTTTAGGTGAGTTTATGGTCATTTTGGATTGCTAAGGGAAAGTGTAGCTGGACCATAGCAATTAGTCTGCCACGGGATTCTTCCATAAATGCAATTGGATCATTTACAGATATGGATGCAAACTCTACTGAGATTTTAAGCAACTATCTATTAAAGGAATATCATAATAAGATCTGTACAGACTGTTCTTTTATTTTAGAGATGAAGTAGAGAAGAACACTGCTTCACCTTCGATAGTAATGAAAGAGATTATGGTTTCACAGGCCACATCTTCCAAAAAATTGTTACTTCCTATTCCTTGCCAATCCCTAATTCTCTCTGTTCCATTTATCTTGTGCCCCACTACTGATGAGTCCAAACTGACAAACCCATTCCAGGGCAGCTATCTGTGTTGTTATAATCTTAGCATTCCTACTATGTACCTCTAAATTTCTCAGAGTTAATTCCTTATCTCCCTGACCCCTTTTTTCCTCCCAGTTTTTAATGTAAATGAAACTGAAAATCAAAGCTAAAGACAGGCCCATCATACACAGCAGCATGCTATGAATGATTAGCACTTCTAATGACTCTTAAGTCTGAGAACCAGGAAGTGTCTTAGCAAGAGATTCAGACTCCAGGCTATTTGATACAGCTCAAAACATTAACAAATACTCTCTCTGAGACAATGGTTTGAGCATTATGTACTCTCAGGTCCAACTCTGATATCCAGAAGCACTTGTATTTATTTAAAAATTGTATGCTTTCTTATACATTAATTTCAGTGGATTTATTTGCAGTTATGTGTGTGCTAAAGTATTTTTTGGGGGACAGAAGCAATATGCGACTCCTTCCTTACTGCCATGACAGAACAATTCTGCTCCTATCATCTGAGTTTGGAAGCAAAAACTTAGTGCTGATCAACTCCACAGAATCTCAGAAACACAAAATCACAGAATCCCTCAATCACAGATTGGTTGGGATTGGAAGGGACTATTTGTCATCTGGTCCAACCCCTGCTCAAGCAGCGCCACTCAGATCAGGCCACCTAGGCTCACATCTAGGCTGCTTTTGAAGATCTCCAAACAGGAGATTCCACAGCCTATGAGCAGCCTGTGCCAGTGCTCCTTCAAATTCACAGCTATGGAGCATTCCCTAGTTTTAAGACAGAACTTTCTGTGTTCCAAGTTTGTGTCCAGTGCATCTTGTCCTGGCTCTGGGCAGCACTGAAAGGAGCCTGACTCTCTCTGCACTCTCCTTTGAGGTATTTACATACGTTGGTAAGATTCATCCTGACTCTTCTCCAAATACCTGTCTCCAGAGGCAGACAAGGCATAAATTAAAGTTTACAGTCTTTGCTCAAAGAAGTAAAGGCTTTCTGTACATTTGTTTTTTTATTTGTTTTTTGTTTGTTTTTGCCATTGCTCACCCGTGGTTGAACCACCACTGAACGGAAGGCTATGGTTAAGGCCCCACCAGCTTCCACAGAACTAGGACCTGAAGTCAGTTACTATCCACAAAATTCCTATGTCCTTGCTTTCTTCTTACCCTCTCAGTCTACCAGTATAAAATTAGGGAAAATATTCCCTCATAATTTTCATGTCTGCATGTTGTATCACTTGAGCCTTCTGTGTAATAACATTCTAGAAGTGGCTGGTCAACAACTGGCATGGCAGAAGCAAGCAGCATTGATCAATCTTAAATCCTCATCCCTTGACACTTTAATCAAAATAATTTAAAATTCTATTAAGCACAATATGCAGAGCATTAATACTGAACCAGTGTGTGGTTAGAGTGCAGCCTCTGAGTGATATGTCTGAGTAACTGTCTTGTTAGAAAGGCTATCATGTTGTGCTTCTTGCTGAATCATCAAGGAAGCGAGTGGCAGCATCACTCTTTCACTGCTAATGTACGGCACAAAGAATCTGACAAGGAGCTAAATGTTTGATTACCTGAGAGTAGCTGAAAGTAAAATCTTCTCTCTCTACAGTCAGAACATTCTGGAGCTGCCTGTCACCTGCAAATGAGGACAGCAAGCAGCCACCTTCTCAACATGATTCTTGCCACTGCCCAACTCCCCCCTGTCCACAGCTGCTACCATCTTGTTTAAATGAGATCCACATGCTCTGTCTTGAAGCTTTTTCTCTTTCTCACTATTCTTTTCTCCAGTGTTTTCTTAACACCACAAAACCATGTCCAGCATCCCAAAGGAAAGCACCAAAAAGTGATTTCCAACCAGCAGACACTGGCTGCCATCCCCAACTGCAATTCCTGTTTAAACACTGAAAACAATCTACCTAACTGCTTCTCAAAGCTGTGTTGACTAAATGTACCCATAAAGACCCTGTTTGTTTAGAGGGTTTTTTGTTTGTTTGTTCACCTGAGTGCCGCTTGTGTAATGCAAAGAATCACTTGTAAAAATCAAAATGCTATGGCTGCTCCAAAAGTAATGCCTCTTACTATATTGGCCCACGAGGTCCGAGGTGAATGTTGCTAGTATGGTGTAGAGGTTGAACCTTCCCACCAATATCCCATTACATGTTGCTGTGCAACAGATGGCAGCAGAGGGGTAGTCTGACAGAACGGCATCTAACATGGAAATGTATATGAAGGAAAGGTGTGGAATTGAATTCCTCAATCTGGAAAAAATGGCATCTATTGACATACATCTATACTTGCTGAAAGTTGATGGAGAACAAGCAGTGGATGTGAACACAGTGAAGCAGAGGTGGTGTGTTTCAGTGGGTCGCCACTGGCACACAGGCACTTGTTCATCGCTGTGAGAATGCATAGCTAATGGTGGTGACTGTGTTGAAAAATAGTATTTTGTAGCTAAGAATTTGTTCTATCAAATAGTGTTTGCTGTCCTCTTTGGATCAGTTGTTGATTCTGTGAACATAAATAAGAAGCCTTATGGAGCTTCCTTATGGAGCTACCTACGCACTGTTACTTTTACCATCAAGTGTCATACCTGGGAAAGGTAATTGTATCAGTCCTTTATATATTTAAAAAAAAAAAAAAAAAGTATCAGAAAGCTTTGAAACCTCCTTTCTGAAAAGATCACAGGAAAAAACAAATTAGTTGTTAAACTAGCTCTGCTATTGCAGTTTTGCCACCAGAATATATACCAAATATTACCCATGAATTATTTTTGTTTCAAATATAATTTCAGATTAGCAATTGTAATTATGAAAATCCAAACCTACAATCACAGAAAGCTTTTTAGCATAGCAAGTGAAAATGTGGCTAATGCCCCTCTGCAAAGGCACATACCTTGGAGTGCATGAGAGCATGGCTGCTCACTCAGTTTTTTCTTTCCCAGCTAGACCTGGTAAAAAGCTGCTTCACTAGGTTTTAAAGCCCACTGGAGGTACTGCACATTAACTGAGAAGACTGATCAACCCATACAGTATTAAAAAGACATTTGTAGACTCATTTAATCAATAATGTACAGTATTAGTGTGCAATTTAGATTGAGAGAAGACAGCTGTAAGACTATGATACATCAGCTAATGAAAAAGTGAAGAGAGTGCAATTCAGACAACTAGAAAGGCCAAGAGGCAGCCCCTCTTGGTGGGAACAGGAAGGATCATCTCTGCATCTCTGAGCCTGCATGTCAGAAGAGAATTTGTCCCCAAGAAAAGAGCTGGGACAGCATCCTTTCCATGATATATGCAGAAAGCTTTATGAGCTACAAAAGATCCTTGCTACTAAAGAAATGGCAAAGAAGATGATGAAATGGCTCTATTTGACCTCAAAATTGTTCAGAAGTTGACAGCCTCCCAGGATATGCCTACACACAAATGTAACAGCCTGAGTTTTCTAGTCATAAGAGCTAGACTGTTCTTCAAGATTTGGCCATTTTCTACTTCTAAGAAAACTCTCAGATCCCTTTAGATGTGGATGTCTCCCAGTAAAAGCATCCCAGTTATGAGAGCTGACCTTATGCCTTCATTCTTATACCATTTTGGTGCAACAAACAAGCCTCCATGCAAGGAGTAGAAAAGTGCAGACAAGCAGTACTTACCCAGATCACCATCCCTAATGCTCCATGCCTTGAGAGTAAAAGCAGCTTTGAACTCCCCAGCAGCTTCTGCTAGGGCTGGAATCAACAAAAGAAGTAGGATTAGATACCTACAGCTCGTTCTTCCTATCCTCTTCCCATCTTCTTAACATCTCCTCTGTGAACCTTACAGCCTGATAAAACTAGTATATATTGATGTCCATAGGCATTCACAGCGCAAGAGTGAATTAATGAGGCAGACATGTTTCAGCCTGCAGAACACTCCAGGCTACTGTTGGTGACAACTGTTCCATGGATGCACCATCTGTTGCTCTTTTGGTGTCAACGGTTATCTTCTTTCCATGGCTCACTTCAGCTTCCTTGCTGAATGACTCTGAAGTCCATAAGGTGTTCTTTTAAAGGTCTTGAGCAGCCTCCCAGGGTCAATACTTATGCAAACACATATTTTCATGAAAATAGCCCTGCTTTCCTTAAGTTTTATTACTGTGATACTTTTCCTGTCTGCAACTTTTGTTAGAAGAAATCTGTTCCTTCCCTCTGTATAAGGGCACATGTAAAAAACAATACAGCAGTGCTGCAGAAAGTAGTTCTGATTACAATATATGGACTGGTAGAGATGGGTTGGTTTGTTTGTTTTTTGTTTGTTTTTTTTTTTTTTTTTTTTTGTTTGTTTGTTTGTTTTGTTTTGTTTTTGAGAAAAGTGAAAGACATTCCAGATTTTCTTAGTCTTTTCCTGCAAGGCCAGGCTAGACAGGGCTCTGAGTAACTTGATCTGGTTGTAGGTGTCCCTGTTCACTGCGGAGGATTTGGACCAGATGACCTTCAAAGGTCTCTTCCAACTGAAACAATTCTATGATTCTGTAAAGCATGACGTGTACCTGTTATGCCAAACATCACAACTCCATGAAGCATGCCTTAAAGAGCAGGTAGGGAAGGGAATGTCACCTTCAGTAAAAGTTTGATGCCCATTATTTGCCTCAGACGTTGCAGATTTTTTCTTTTTTATAAAAGCAGTGAATAGCAGTCCTGCTAGTAACACAAGGTAAAAGTCACTGGGAGAAAAAAAATCCAAAAAACACATTTTCCAAGATTTTTTGTAATCACTAGTTCTTTATAACATTCACTGCCTCACTTTACATAAAATCACCACTGATACAAGTTTAGTTTTATGTAATACTCCATATGGCGGATTCATAAAATACTTCTACTGGGAATACCACCATAAACTACTATTTTCTGCTATAAAAAATAACCATTAAAGTCCAGACATGCACAAACAAGGTAATCTGCCATAAATTTTGAAATGTTAAAATACTACCAATGTAAATGTATTCAACTCCTATTGCAAGGCATGTAATTTCCATAGCTTTATTAGAAATCCTGCAGTTGCGGTGGTTTGGCGATAGGTTATAAATATAGTAGGAATGAGTCAGCATGCAAATCCCTCCTGTGGAAAACAATCTGTGAGATTTTATAGCCCAAAGCTGTTTATTATTTTGTAAGAATAGTAATGCAAGTTCATGTTCAAAACCTGCTGAGAGAAGAATGTGCAAAACATCCTATTATGGAACAGGCACAAAAAAAAAAACCCTAAGACCTGTGTAATGGCACCAGGCTGGAACATTCTCAGTTCCCCCATTTAGCTGATGGTTTTTTTCCTCCTGTACTCATTAAGATCCTTGTGAGATTATCACTACATGACTAATAAAATGAGAACACAGCTAAGGCTTGGGATTTAATTTCTCAGATAATGCAAGAGTCCTCAAAAACTGAGACAAAGAGAACAAAAAAAGATTCCTGTAGGTTTATATAAAAGAGTTGTGATTATTTTTGAAAGATTTTGATATTTTCTTTGTTTTCTGTTCCTATGAATAATAATAAGAGAAGGTATTTCTGATGATTCCACTCAGCATTACACCCAACTAGCTCAAGCACTTCTCTGTTTTACATACTAGATTGCAATGAACAAGTTCTATAAATACGATCGAATGATGCTGCGTAGGTATACTAGCAAGTGGGGAAAGCTATTTGCTTTCAGCATTATCTCCATTAACTGTTTCACATTGCAGAGAAACACTTCAGTGTCAATGAATAAATAATAACGCAGGTTCTGCAACCAGACTACGGTTGGCAGCAGAGGCAGAGGAGCATTATCCTCTAACCCCCAGTGCCCTGGGCCAAGCAATGACTTTATTTGGTGTGCGATATTTTCTCTGTAAACATAACTGCAAGTGCTGCAGAGCTGCTTTTATAGCTTCCCTGGGAATAGGAAGCAAAGAAAGACATACCTGGTTTGAAAAGGTATTATGGTCTGGAGTTCGCAACCAGAAACTACCTACCATCATCACTCTTACTTCCTTCCCTCCTCTGCTGCTGTAGTTTCTCTTAGGAGGCAGCAGTCTGACCTACTGGCCCAGGTGCTTCCACTGCATATTTCCTTGTATTTGGTGCTGTTCTCAGCCTGCCCTTGCTATAACCTCATCTACAGCACCAGTCTTAAGAAGTCCCAGAGTTCACTAAGGAACTATCTGAATGTTAGAGTCAAGAATGCTTAGAGGCAGCATGAATCAGCATGGGGCTGGCTTTAAAATTCTTTTCTGTTTCTTTCACTTATCATCTACTGGCCCTCCTTTTTTTCCTGGATGTGCCCCAGCAGTGCCCATACAGTACAGTGCTGGCCCAAGGCTGTATAAACACCAGCCAGACTACACCACACCGCTCAAAAACACAGAAATATTAGCTACGTGGGGCTTTCTGACCTTCCTCAACTCTAGGCAGAGCATGTGTGCACTAATTTTTGGAGATTAAATAGATTAAATAGAGCTGTCAGTGTAGCTCTAATTGGTTTTTAACCAGGACCATCAGATCAGGGCAATAAAGTTGCTACTGTAAGGGAATGAGGTTTATCTATTCACTTGTAATCTAGAAGAAAGAAAGCAATTAGGTCTAAAAAAAATGTTAATCTTTCACCAACATTTTGACAGGAAATGCAA